ACAAAGTTGTCTCTCCATTACAGAGTTCCCTGCCTATTACAAAGTTGTCTCTCCATTACAGAGTTCAGACCCAATTACAGAGTTCCGGTCCCATTACAGTATTCCGTCCCCATTATAGTTAACTCCCTATTACAGAGTGACCTCCCCATTACAGAGTTACCTCCCTATTACAGAGTGACCTCCCTATTACAGAGTTACCTCACCATTACAAACTGTTGTGAAATGAGTTCATGGCATTTTCCTGCTTTGTGTGGTTAAAATGAACACTGGACTGGATTTTAAAAAAAAACAAAATGTACAAATACTCTGATAATGATGATGAAGATAATATCAGTGACTACAAAACTCACTATAAGCTCCACCTCCATGTCCTCCACGAGCACAAGCTCCGCCTCCTGCACCAAAGCCACCCCTGCCGTGACAAGAATCACTCTTATTGGTGAATTCTGAACAGGGAAGGGAGCCTTCCAGTGAGCTGTGCAGAAACAGTTCTGCCTCCTGGTCACTCAGTGTTGCCATCTCATCTGCAAGTACACATGGAAACAGCTGAGAGATAATGACGTGTCACGTCACACACACAGACAAATGTGACTACAGACAGACAAAGTAGACAAACCGGGGGAAGGGGGGGGGGGGGGCAGAGAAGATAGATATTAGAGCTTCCATGGGTTTCAGTGCAAAGACCTTCTAGTTACACTATTAGCCAATTTTCTCAACATGTGTTCTATCCAACTCCAGCGTTGTTCGCCATTTCATGATTAGCTGAAATGTGCTTAGTTCTTGCCCAGATCTCCACATTATTTATCATTTGATTCTCGTTGTTCTGTGTGGGCATCGTAAATTAATCTTTGTTCTTTATTAATAATTGTTGTAGCTGTTCTCCATGTTGCAGGCTCCTTCAACAGTATTGATTTGACAAAAAGTTAAACAGTTAAAATTGAAGATCCACTACAAGGCACTGAGCTGCCCCACATAGCTGAGTTTCTCATAGTAAAACAACTAACCAACTGTGCAGAACATCAAACAAACCATGAACTCCATAGCTCCAGAGGTGATCCCCAAGTTTCTATGTAAAAACAGCAGTCATGGACTACGTCTGTGAGATGAACAGATTGTGAGGCAAGCAGCGTGACCACTTCAGCACAGAAACCTCCCAAAACGTATTTGACATCGTAGCTCAGCTGCTGGTTTGGCACTAGGGTCAACGTTTTGACACACCTATTTTGACACACCTATTTTGACACACCTATTTTGACACACAGTTTTCCTGTCAGCTCATCCTCCTGTCAGCCCTGTGGCAATGCTGCTGTGTTTCCATTCCTTCATGTGTACTGGGTGTATAGGTTAGATTTGATAGGCCACTCGACACTCAGTAGGGGATGTGTTCAACATTATGCCAGCCGCCTTTACCTCCTAAGACTTCAACTGGCACCCAGTTAAGGCTGGGTCGCTGCTCCAGCCAAGGTATCCATGTGTCCCATATAGCCATGTTGTATCACAGAAGCAACGATGACTCTGTCTGCAAGTTCACACCTTCAAATGTCTCTAGATGAACTCCCCTGAATGCTATGTCGTCTGCCACATTGAAAAACACACAAATTATTGTTGAATGATCTCCCCTTGTGGTCCTGGAAGAAAGCTAAAAAATGAATGACAGTAAATCAGCAATATCAGCATTACCAACAATAGGTACACCGGCAACCTCAACAACAGCAGCAACCTAAACAACAGCGGCAACTTCAACAACAGCAGCAACCGCAGCAAGGGCCATAATAGCAGCATTGATAACGACACCAAGAAAAACATCAGTAATAAGAGCAACAATAACAATGGACATAACAGCAACAATAACACTGGACATAACAGCAACAATAACAATGGACATAACAGCAACAATAAGACACAACTTTTGTTTTCCACGTTCACTGGCTGTAAACTACTGAAGACAGTTGTTCATCAATTTATGGATCGGTGTTGTTCGTAAAGTTTGGCGTTCACATCCGCCTTATTTGTATGCAGATTGATGGTTCCTGAGCCCTCACCCAGATGCCTCCTAATTTCAAAGGAAACACCTCTGATTGGTATTCTTTCACAACATGATTGTTACGGGGAATTGAGTCCACTCCCGCCCCACCTCTTTAGGCCAACATGGAAGCCACGTAAACAACACAAACAGCAACAAGAAACACTGCTCTCACCTCTGGGCTGGTCAGTGTCCACTGCCAGAGTTGTCTGCTGCAGGAGCCAGTGATGAGACTGTACAGGCAGACCTGCGCCGCCCCCTGCCATCAGCATCACCTGCTGGACCTGTCCTGTTGGGGTCATCTGAGGAGTAAAGTTTTCTACTGCTTGATCTGCCACACAAATCTGTTCAGTGTCTGAAGTCAAGTTGCTTGACAAAAGATAGGCATGGACACAACACACGGGCACATACACGTACACACAACCTCACACACCTACATACACACAAGGATACACTCACACACACACATACGCACGCAAAAATGCGCGCGCGCACACACACACACAAACTTACGCTAATTTCTTTCAAATCACTGTCTTCAGGGCGGACGAGCCATTGACCAGGTTGCTATTCTGAATGCTTTACTAGAAGCAAGACGTTTGTAAGAACCATGTAATAACTGTAATTCTGCAACCATGACCAGACTGCAAGAACAGCAAGTTGAAAGGGGTATGGCCAGACAAGAGCACGATGCAAGAAGCCAAAGAAGAATAAGATACCAACACAGAACTGGCGTTGTCAGTCACTACAGGCTGTGGGATTGACTGAGGAGAGGATCTGAACATGGTTCAGTGGGCAAAGAAGATCATCTGTCGACTAACTTAATAACTAATTGACTGACTGACTGACTGACTGACTGACTGGCTGACTAACTAAATTACTCACTCACTCATTCCCTCGCTCACTCTCACTCACTAACTAACTGACTGACTGACTGACTAACTGATTCACTGACTAATTAACTGACCGACTGACCGACCGACCGAATGACTGACTGACTAACTAACTGACTAACTAACTAACTAGCTGGCTGGCTGACTGACTGATTGACTACTAACCAACTAACAAACTGACTGACTGACTGACTAACTGACTGATTCACTGACTGATTGACTAACTTAACTAACGAGCTATAACTAACTAACTAACTAACATATAACTGTTACACATGTGTGTAATGTTTAGGAGCCCATGTGAATTAGGAAATATTTCTTGAGACTGACTGTGTGTACAGTCATGTGCTGGCACCATCACCACCACTCATAGACTACAGGTACACTCACCTTGAACACAACTGTGGCCCCGCCGCCTCCACCACCCCCACTCATGTGACTAGAGTTGCTGTACAAGATGGAAGCAGCAGTGACATTGTGGTTCTCTCCCTGGGACACCTGGACATTGATCAGTGACTGTTGAATGTTTTGATTGGCTGAACAAAGCATCGGTCTACAGGTAACATAGCTCTAAATAACAGGAGATAAGATAAGCTGAGCCCAGTTTGCTTACAGTCCACCTTGCCTTTCTTGTGAGTGTAGAGTGTCAGCCCTGATCACTTCCTGTGGCTCTATACTTATCTACCCCTGATCACTTCCTGTGGCTCTATACTTATCTACCCCTGATCACTTCCTGTGGCTCTATACTTATCTACCCCTGATCACTTCCTGTGGCTCTATACTTATCTACCCCTGATCACTTCCTGTGGCTCCATACTTATCTACCCCTGATCACTTCCTGTGGCTCCATACTTATCTACCCCTGATCACTTCCTGTGGCTCCATACTTATCTACCCCTGATCATTCCCCGTGGCCCCATACTTATCTACCCCTGATCACTTTCCTTGGCTCTATACTTATCTACCCCTGATCACTTCCCTTGGCTCCATACTTATCTACCCCTGATCACTTCCCTTGGCTCCGTACTTATCTACCCCTGATCACTTCCCTTGACTCCATACTTATCTACCCCTGATCACTTCCCTTGGCTCCATACTTATCTACCCCTGATCACTCACTGTGGCTCCATACTTATCTACCCCTGATCACTTTCCTTGGCTCTATACTTACCTACCCCTGATCACTCACTGTGGCTCCATACTTATCTACCTAAGATCATTCCCCGTGGCTCCATACTTATCTACCCCTGAGCTTTTGAATTATCCACTTGCTCCCAAACAGCTTGTCATGCATTAATTCATCACCCAGTGATGCAGAACCAGCCAGCCTGTCTGTCCATTCATTTCCCAGCACACCTGCATGCACTGAAGAAAAATACTAACTACCCATGACCGTTGAAGTGGTGCTTGCCACTTTGCGTAGAGCAGGGCTTTCTCCAACTTTCTCAGCATTCTTTGTAACAATCACAAGATGTGTGTGCAGTAGGTTCCAAAGCCGGCGAAGATTTGCAGTGACTGCCTCCACCTCCATTCTCTAACTAGATACTCTATTCCCATATCCTAGGCTTTGTTGCATAAGGCGTTATCTATTGGCTTTTGACATGAATCCCCGTGCATTTCTTCTGCCTCTCAACACAAAGCCATCTGTAGCGATAATCACACCACATGGGTAGGAACTGTCACCAATCAATTATTACAATTTCTGTTTCTACAGCCAATCCCAGCACGTGACTAGAACCCTACACGAGTCTGACGTTTACTCTGACACCGTGACTTAATCCTCCCCTTGCCCAATGTTTTGAAGCCTACAAACATCTTTAATTGTGTGTTCACTTCTCCACTGTTACTGTCCTTTGTCTAGCCCCATTTCTAATCCTCCTTGTTCATTAAGCATAGGGGTATCATTATCACGGTGGTAATGTACTTACAATTTACCACAACCATCACCACCACCACCACCATCACCACCACCATCATCATCATCATCAGTATCACCATCATCATCATCATCATCATCATCATCATCATCATCATCATCCACACCATCCTTATCACCACCATCACTACATTTGTTTACAACTTACCAGACAAGAATCTTCTCCAGTCTGACCAATGAGAAAATAGAGCTTCTCCCCTTTGTAAAGTTTAAACTTGGCTACGACACTGGAGCCCAGGCTTCCAGCGAAGACGTCGCCATCATTGTTGCCTCGACCTCCTTTAGCGCCGGCGGCTTGTATCCTGGGGGAGATTGATGGTCACTGTTGTAACTGTGTGGCTGTGACTGTGTGGCTGTGTAACTGTCTGACTGTCTGACTGTGTGCTGTACACTATTGTTAAGTATTCTACTACCTCCATCTACCTAGCAACTACCTTCATCTACCTAGCAACTACCTTCATCTACCTATCAACTACCTTCATCTACCTAGCAACTACCTTCATCTACCTAGCAACTACCTCCATCTACCTAGCAACTACCTTAATCTACCTAGCAACTACCTTCATCTACCTAGCAACTACCTTCATCTACCTAGCAACTACCTTCATCTACCTAGCAACTACCTTCATCTACCTAGCAACTACCTTCATCTACCTAGCAACTACCTTCATCTACCTAGCAACTACCTCCATCTACCTAGCAACTACCTTCATCTACCTAGCAACTACCTTCATCTACCTAGCAACTACCTTCATCTACCTAGCAACTACCTCCATCTACCTAGCAACTACCTTCATCTACCTAGCAACTACCGTCATCTACCTAGTAACTACCTTCATCTACCTAGCAACTACCTTCATCTACCTAGCAACTACCTTCATCTACCTAGCAACTACCTCCATCTACCTAGTAACTAACTCCATCTACCTAGCAACTACCTTCATCTACCTAGCAACTACCGTCATCTACCTAGCAACTACCGTCATCTACCTAGCAACTACCTTCATCTACCTAGCAACTACCGTCATCTACCTAGCAACTACCGTCATCTACCTAGCAACTACCTTCATCTACCTAGCTACAATCTACCTAGCAACTACCGTCATCTATCTAGCTACAATCTACCTAGCAACTAACGTCATCTACCTAGCAACTAACGTCATCTACCTAGCAACTACCTTCATCTACCTAGCAACTACCTTCATCTACCTAGCAACTACCTTCATCTACCTAGCAGGTACCTTCATCTACCTAGCAACTACCGTCACCTGCCTAGCAACTACCTTTATCTACCTAGCAGGTAATTTATCTACCTAGCAACTACCTTTATCTACCTAGCAACTACCTTCATCTACCTAGCAGGTACCTTTATCTACCTAGCAGGTACCTTTATCTACCTAGCAACTACCTTTATCTACCTAGCAGGTACCTTTATCTACCTAGCAGGTACCTTTATCTACCTAGCAACTACCTTTATCTACCTAGCAGGTACCTTTATCTACCTAGCAACTACCTTTATCTACCTAGCAACTACCTTCATCTGCCTAGCAGGTACCTTTATCTACCTAGCAGGTACCTTTATCCACCTAGCAGGTACCTTTATCTACCTAGCAACTACCTTTATCTACCTAGCAACTACCTTCATCTACCTAGCAACTACCTTTATCTGCCTAGCAACTACCTTCATCTACCTAGCAGGTACCTTCATCTACCTAGCAACTACCGTCATCTGCCTAGCAACTACCTTCATCTACCTAGCAGGTACCTTTATCTACCTAGCAGGTACCTTTATCTACCTAGCAACTACCGTCATCTGCCTAGCAACTACCTTTATCTACCTAGCAACTACCTTCATCTACCTAGCAACTACCTTTATCTACCTAGCAACTACCTTTATCTACCTAGCAGGTACCTTCATCTACCTAGCAACTACCTTTATCTACCTAGCAACTACCTTAATCTACCTAGCAGGTACCTTTATCTACCTAGCAACTACCTTTATCTACAACTACCTTCATCTACCTAGCAACTACCTTCATCTACCTAGCAACTACCTTCATCTACCTAGCAGGTACCTTCATCTACCTAGCAACTACCGTCATCTGCCTAGCAACTACCTTCATCTACCTAGCAGGTACCTTTATCTACCTAGCAGGTACCTTTATCTACCTAGCAACTACCGTCATCTACCTAGCAACTACCTTCATCTACCTAGCAACTACCTTTATCTACCTAGCAACTACCTTTATCTACCTAGCAACTACCGTAATCTACCTAGCAACTACCGTCATCTACCTAGCAGGTACCTTCATCTACCTAGCAACTACCGTCATCTACTTAGCAACTACCGTCATCTACCTAGCAACTACCGTCATCTACCTAGCAGGTACCTTTATCTACCTAGCAACTACCTTCATCTACCTAGCAACTACCGTCATCTACCTAGCAACTACCGTCATCTACCTAGCAACTACCGTCATCTACCTAGCAACTACTCCCAACCGTGTACACATTACTCTCACCTGTATTAGAACTCCCGTTGATGTACAATCAAGTCAAGGACCGTTTTCCTCGACTTTTGCATATTGGGCATATAGGGCTAGACCTATATCATGACCACCTTTACTTCCCAGGACTTTACCTGGTACTCATTTAAGACTGGGTTCACGTGGAAAAAACGGTCATTTAAAAAAAAAAAAGTCCCACATTCTCAGGACCTGAACTCATGACCTCCGGCAGGCAGGCAAACTGCTGCATCATAGGAGCTCCCAGACTACTCTAATCTAGTGAAGTATCACTCTCACATGTGTTAGAACTAATCTCACCTGTCTTAGAACTACTCTCACTTGTTTTAGAACTACTCTCACCGGTTGTAGAACAATTCTTCTATTTGTTAGAACTACTCTCTCCTTTGTTAGAACTACTCTCCCCTTTGTTAGAGCTACTCTCCTCTTTGTCAGAACTACTCTCCCCTTTGTTAGATCTACTCTCCCCTCTGTTAGAACTACTCTCCCCTTTGTTAGGACTACTCTCCCCATTGTTGGAACTACTCTCCCCTTTGTTGGGACTATTCTCCCCTTTGTTGGAACTACTCTCCCCTTTGTCAGAGCTACTTTCCCCTATGCAAAGGCTACTGTCACATGTGGAAAAAAAAACTTTTGCCAACTTAAATGCTTACATTAGTTAAGTATTACTTTCACCGAGGGAGTCGCCATGGCAGAGCGGCTAGACGAGCGCCGCGGATCGGAAGGTCGTGGGTTAGCTCCCTGGCGCAGCCGGACTTATCTTCAAAAATGACCTTGGCTCCCAAGTAGACCCAGCCTTGAGTGGGTACTGTGTGCAATCCCGGGAAGTAGAGACGGCCGGCGTGATGCTGACCACATCACCCATCTTGTGCCGTTAGACTAAAAAAATTAGGTCTAGCCCTATATGCCCTATACGCCTAAAGGCGTTGAAAAGGGTCCTTTACTTTTGTTACTTTACTTTCACCAATCATTCTCACCTATAGACCATTGTTTCAGGTACGGTCCATGACTGGATGCCGTTAAACTGTCCACTCTCCCAGACACTGACCAGGTCTTTCTGATCATAAGACTGATCACAGTCTTGCTGGGTTGGTCCGTGTGCTCCGCTGGCACCACAAGATGTCAGTACCAGCGCTGAAAGTCAAACAACAATAGTTCATGTAACCTTCTTCTCTACAAACTGTCTTGTCTGCATCAGGATGTAGACTGTCATGATGTGGATGTGTAATGTTGACACTGGTGTGTAGACTGTCATGATGTGGATGTATAATGTTGACACTGGTGTGTAGACTGTCATGATGTGAATGTGTAATGTTGACACTGGTGTGTAGACTGTCATGATGTGAATGTGTAATGTTGACACTGGTGTGTAGACTGTCATGATGTGGATGTGTAATGTTGACACTGGTGTGTAGACTGTCATGATGTGGATGTGTAATGTTGACACTAGTGTGTAGGATATCACGATGTGGATGTGTAATGTTGACACCAGTGTGTAGACTGTCATGATGTGGATGTGTAATGTTGACACTTGTGTGTAGACTGTCATGATGTGGATGTGTAATGTTGACACTGGTGTGTAGACTGTCACGATGTGGATGTGTAATGTTGACACTTGTGTGTAGACTGTCACGATGTGGATGTGTAATGTTGACACTTGTGTGTAGACTGTCACGATGTGAATGTGTAATGTTGACACTTGTGTGTAGACTGTCATGATGTGGATGTGTAATGTTGACACTAGTGTGTAGGATATCACGATGTGGATGTGTAATGTTGACACCAGTGTGTAGACTGTCACGATGTGGATGTGTAATGTTGACACCAATGTGTAGACTGTCACGATGTGGATGTGTAATGTTGACACTTGTGTGTAGACTGTCATGATGTGGATGTGTAATGTTGACACTTGTGTGTAGACTGTCATGATGTCGATGAGTAATGTTGACACTTGTGTGTAGACTGTCATGATGTGGATGTGTAATGTTGACACTGGTGTGTAGACTGTCACGATGTGGATGTGTAATGTTGACACTGGTGTGTAGGATATCACGATGTGGATGTGTAATGTTGACACTTGTGTGTAGACTGTCACGATGTGGATGTGTAATGTTGACACTGGTTTGTAGACTGTCATGATGTGGATGTGTAATGTTGACTCTGGTCTGTAGACTGTCAATATGTGGATGTGTAATGTTGACACTGGTGTGTAGACTGTCACGATGTGGATGTGTAATGTTGACACTGGTGTGTAGACTGTCACGATGTGGATGTGTAATGCTGACACTAGTGTGTAGAGCTACTGTCTGGCTTGATAAACCAAGATGCACATCCAGCGTATAATGGCTGCGTGGACAACCACTCCAGCAAAAGTGGAGGTAACAACAGCGTTCGATACAGATACACACAATAAGCTGATTATGGATGACGAGGATGACTTCGATGATGATATTATGATGAAGATGATGATAGTGTAAATAATGATAATAGGTATGATGATGATGATGTTGATGGCAAAAATGATGACGTTAATAGCAATAATGATGATGATGATGGCAATAATGATGATGATGATGGCAATAATGATGATGATGATGATGGCAATAATGATGATGATGATGGCAATAATGATAATGTTGATGGTAATAATGATGATGATGATGATGACGAGGATGATGATGACAGGATGATCTACCTGCATGGAAACACTCCGGGCTGAGGCTGACACTATGTAGAGCCACCTCGGCCGTGGCCAGGAGGTCAGCGGGGTCGCTGGACGTGACCTTGAACTGGAGGACATAGCTATAATAGAAACGCACAGGTGAGAACCAGGTGACGAGCTTGTAAAGACAGGGCTATTTAATTGGCGGCCCACAGAAGTCTATAAAGTGGCCTGCAGATCACTGCCAATTGTTGTGTTTTAATTACCTTTCTATCTTTGGGCTCCCTGGCCCGTTACGATCCCTATTTTTGAAAAGTTTTGCCCCCGCTGAAGTACCATCTTGACATCATCATGGGTCCTAGGTTCAGTACCATCTTGACATTATCATAGGCCCTAGGTTCAGTACCGTCTTGACATTATCATGGACCCTAGGTTCAGTACCGTCTTGACATTATCATGGACCCTAGGTTCAGTACCGTCTTGACATTATCATGGACCCTAGGTTCAGTACTGTCTTGACATTATCATGGACCCTAGGTTCAGTACCGTCTTGACATCATCATGCGTCCTAGGTTCAGTACCTTCTTGACATTATCATGGACCCTAGGTTCAGTACCATCTTGACATCATCATGGACCCTAGGTTCAGTACCATCTTGACATCATCATGGACCCTAGGTTCAGTACCATCTTGACATTATCATGGACCCTAGGTTCAGTACCATCTTGACATCATCATGGACCCTAGGTTCAGTACCGTCTTGACATCATCATAGGCCCTAGGTTCAGTACCATCTTGACATTATCATGGACCCTAGGTTCAGTACCATCTTGACATCATCATGGACCCTAGGTTCAGTACCATCTTGACATCATCATGGACCCTAGGTTCAGTACCGTCTTGACATTATCATGGACCCTAGGTTCAGTACCGTCTGTGGGGTGAACAGTCGTTAACGAAGGCAGGTAGGTCGTTGTAGGGGCGACGCCTGCCGGTGGATGTAATGTCCCAAGTCCCTTCCCGAGCTAATAATGAGGGTACTGCTGGGGTGACCGTTTATTAACCCTCATATAATGCTTCAGGTCAAAATGGACGCTAGGCACGGCCAACTTTTTTTTCTTTAGCCGTGGCAAATGTTTTTTTCCCCCTGCCAGACGGTGGCCGTTGCATTTTTCCTCCATTTGTAGACTGGAAGGATATAGTTTCGTCGCCCAGCTTCTGAATTGAGTGCATGGCGAGACACTGTGAGCTACGTGTGTTTTTCGTTGGCACAGGAACGGAGCAACTATGGGGTGACACGTTTGCTATGAAGCTGAAACTAGGATTACCAGATTACCAGACTACCGTCTTGACATCATCGTGGACCCTAGGTTCAGTACCATCTTCACATCATCATGGACCCTGGGTTCAATACCATCTTCACATCATCATGGACCCTAGGTTCAGTACCGTCTTGACATCATCATGGACCCTAGGTTCAGTACCGTCTTCACATCATCATGGACCCTAGGTTCAGTACCATCTTCACATCATCATGGACCCTGGGTTCAGTACCATCTTCACATCATCATGGACCCTGGGTTCAGTACCATCTTCACATCATCATGGATCCTGGGTTCAGTACCGTCTTGACATTATCAATGGCCCTGCGGAACTGCACATGAGTTAAGGGGATAGAGCTGAGCAAGATACAGTTGTTTCCTGGCACGTTCATTGGTTAGACTGTGTTAGATCTAGATTTTTATTGGTATCCTCGCTCGGAGATTTTAGGTCGCTAATAAGAGAAAGTGCTCTCATCTTTGTTAGCTAGAGTGATTATGATTAGCATATGGTCTGTCCGAACACGTTTAAAAAAACATATTATTATCTGCGATCACGGAAGTTCTGTGTTCAGGAAAATAAAAACACGTTGAATGTGATGATTATATTCCATTTATTTGATTTAGAACAGGACTTGAAGTTCATGCACTTGTTCTGACTAGGCGCTGCCTCGTTAGTTATACGTTGCAGTTGTTGTGTAATTCACTATTCACATATTCATCACCTGAGCCATGAGTAATATTTTATGGTTCCTGCACCTGTAGAACCCTTGTCTTTTGTCTACTATCTCTGTGTTTGCAGTTTAGCGGAACTATGTATTGCCCTTAGCACGTTTCTTTCTCGTCTCCCTCCTTGTTTTTCTCAGTCTTGCTTTTGCTCGAGTGGCCCCTGGCTGGACCTGTGCGTTAAAACAGCTCTTTTGTATAGTACAAGGCTGTTTAAACACAAGAAATTTTTGACTGGTCATAATTACATCCACGGCTGGGTCTGACACCATTTCTCTCTAGCATTCATCGTTTCAAACAGACGACAGTTATCTGGTTCTCTCTAGCATTCATTGTTCTCTCTAGCATTCATTGTCTCACACAGGCCACCGTTATCTGGTTCTCTCTAGCATTCATTGTCTCACACAGGCCACAGTTATCTATTTCTCTCTAGCACTCATTGTCTCATACAGGCCACAGTTATCTAGTTCTCTCTAGCATTCATTGTCTCATACAGGCCACAGTTATCTGGTTCTCTCTAGCATTCATTGTCTCACACAGGCCACAGTTATCTAGTTCTCTCTAGCATTCATTGTCTCATACAGGCCACAGTTATCTGGTTCTCTCTAGCACTCATTGTCTCATACAGGCCACAGTTATCTGGTTCTCTCTAGCATTCATTGTCTCACACAGGCCACAGTTATCTGGTTCTCTCTAGCATTCATTGTCTCATACAGGCCACAGTTATCTGATTCTCTCTAGCACTCATTGTCTCATACAGGCCACAGTTATCTGGTTCTCTCTAGCATTCATTGTCTCATACAGGCCACAGTTATCTGGTTCTCTCTAGCATTCATTGTCTCATACAGGCCACAGTTATCTGGTTCTCTCTAGCATTCATTGTCTCACACAGGCCACAGTTATCTGATTCTCTCTAGCACTCATTGTCTCATACAGGCCACAGTTATCTGGTTCTCTCTAGCATTCATTGTCTCATACAGGCCACAGTTATCTGATTCTCTCTAGCACTCATTGTCTCATACAGGCCACAGTTATCTGATTCTCTCTAGCACTCATTGTCTCACACAGGCCACAGTTATCTGATTCTCTCTAGCACTCATTGTCTCATACAGGCCACAGTTAACTGGTTCTCTCTATCATTCATTGTTCTCTCTAGCATTCATTGTCTCATACAGGCCACAGTTATCTGGTTCTCTCTATCATTCATTGTTCTCTCTAGCATTCATTGTCTCATACAGGCCACAGTTATCTGGTTCTCTCTAGCATTCATTGTTCTCTCTAGCATTCATTGTTCTCTCTAGCATTCATTGTTCTCTCTAGCATTCATTGTTCTCTCTAGCATTCATTGTTCTCTCTAGCATTCATTGTTCTCTCTAGCATTCATTGTTCTCTCTAGCAGTCATTGTCTCACACAGGCCACATTTATCTAGTTCTCTCTAGCATTCATTGTCTCACACAGGCCACAGTAATCTGGTTCTCTCTATCATTCATTGTTCTCTCTAGCATTCATTGTCTCACACAGGCCACAGTTATCTGGTTCTCTCTAGCATTTATTGTTTTCTCTAGCATTCATTGTCTCACACAGGCCACAGTTATCTGGTTCTCTCTAGCACTCTTTGTCTCACACAGGCCACAGTTATCTGGTTCTCTCTAGCATTCATTGTTCTCTCTAGCATTCATTGTCTCATACAGGCCATATTTATCTGGTTCTCTCTAGCACTCATTGTCTCATACAGGCCACAGTTATCTGGTTCTCTCTAGCATTCACTATGTCATACAGGCCACAGTTATCTGGTTCTCTCTAGCATTCATTGTCTCACACAAGCCCCAGTTATCTGGTTCTCTCTAGCATTCATTGTTCTTTCCAGCATTCATTGTCTCACACAGGCCACAGTTATCTGGTTCTCTCTAGCATTCATTGTTCTTTCCAGCATTCATTGTCTCACACAGGCCCCAGTTATCTGGTTTTCTCTAGCATTCATTGTTTTTTTCCAGCATTCATTGTCTCATACAGGCCAGTTATCTGGTTCTCTCTATCATTCATTGTCTCACACAGGCCACAGTTATCTGGTTTTCTCTAGCATTCATTGTCTCATACAGGCCAGTTATCTAGTTCTCTCTAGCATTCATTGTCTCACACAGGCCACAGTTATCTGGTTCTTTCCAGCATTCATTGTCTCACACAGGCCACAGTTATCTGGTTCTCTCTAGCATTCATTGTCTCACACAGGCCACAGTTATCTGGTTCTCTCTAGCATTCACTATCTCACACAGGCCACAGTTATCTGGTTCTCTTTAGCATTCATTGTCTCACACAGGCCACAGTTATCTGGTTCTCTCCAGCATTCATTGTCTCACACAGGCCAGTTATCTGGTTCTCTCTAGCATTCATTGTCTCACACAGGCCACAGTTATCTGGTTCTCTCTAGCACTCTTTGTCTCACACAGGCCACAGTTATCTGGTTCTCTCTAGCATTCATTGTCTCATACAGGCCACAGTTATCTGGTTCTCTCTAGCATTCATTGTCTCATACAGGCCACAGTTATCTGGTTCTCTCTAGCATTCACTATCTCATACAGGCCACAGTTATCTGGTTCTCTCTAGCACTCATTGTCTCACACGGGCCACAGTTATCTGGTTCTCTCTAGCATTCATTGTCTCACACAGGCCACAGTTATCTGGTTCTCTCTAGCACTCATTGTCTCACACGGGCCACAGTTATCTGGTTCTCTCTAGCACTCATTGTCTCACACAGGCCACAGTTATCTGGTTCTCTCTGGCATTCATTGTCTCACACAGGCCACAGTTATCTGGTTCTCTCTATCATTCATTGTCTCACACAGGCCACAGTTATCTGGTTCTCTCTATCATTCATTGTCTCATACAGGCCACAGTTATCTGGTTCTCTCTAGCACTCATTGTCTCATACAGGCCACAGTTATCTGGTTCTCTCTATCATTCATTGTCTCACACAGGCCACAGTTATCTGGTTCTCTCTAGCACTCATTGTCTCACACAGGCCACAGTTATCTGGTTGTCTCTATCATTCATTGTCTCACACAGGCCATGGTTATCTCGTTC